AAGGAGTAAGTGGAAGATAATCGTATCTCACTGGCAAACAGAGAGAGGCTAGCTGGGTGGAATGAAGTCTCCCCTGCAGAGAATCCCTCAGCCCCAATGATTCTGCTCACAATCCCGTACTGATGACCCATGGTACAAGCGCGCAGCACTCCTGGTGTAGACGCTACCCTCGGGACACCTGACCACACGTTGCCCAGTGGCGTTGTGCGAGCGGCCGGATCACACCGGCTTCCCAGGCCTGCTGCAGCCTGGCAGCTGCCCTGCAGTGGAAGGGCCCAGCCGGTTCTGGAGACGAGCTCCGAGCTGGAGGTGTCCTAGAGCTGAAAGCTGACGCGGTTTATGTTTGTTCCCGGGAGACAAGGCGGGAAGCCTCGGCCGCGTGCTGTCCGAATGAGGGCACAGCAGGCCCCTGGGGCCTGTCTCTCCGAAATCCTCTGCCTGAGTTTGGATGAGGGATGGCGTGGGAGAGGGGCCGTCTGCGTCCCAGGGCTGAAGAGGTCCCTCAGGGACTCTCCTTCCGCTCTTCTTCCCCGGCTCCCAGGAAGCAGAGAACAGCCATTCCATCTCTGGCCAGGCCTTCACCCACCCCCTTCGCCGGGAGCAAGTGTGGGGTGTCCCTCTGTGGGAAGGACTTTCTGGGCCTTCTCTTTCAGTCGCTTTTATGCTGCAGAAAGGGTCTTAATTTAACCGAGAATCCAGCCCAGTGGATCTTCCCACACCGGACATTGCTGCCCTCCGCCCCTAATCCCAGGGGCCTGTCCCCTGGCTGCCAGCTACCCTGTGGAGCGCCGAAGGAGGGCTCTGAGCTGGAATTAGCACCCGGGGCCCCTCAGTCAGGTGCACCTTCCAATTAGCCTGAAGGATTAGCCCCGGCTGGGGAGAAGCTGATTAGTGGTTCCTATAAAGGAGGCCCTGTGGGGCAAGAGGGAGGGGAGAGCCAGGGGTAAGGGAATGGGGGAATTTCCTCTCTCTGGGGAGGGAGGGCACCTGCAGGAAGGAGCTGGGGAAGGGAGAGGGCGGCTGGGGCGAAGTCAGTGGGGCAGTGGGAGTCTCCGGGGGAGAGGCTCTGAGGGGTGGTGGCTGGGGGAAGGAGGCTGCGCCCTGTAACAGAGGGAAGAAGAACTTCAGAGGGGAGAGCCAGGGGTAAGGGAATGGGGGAATTTCCTCTCTCTGGGGAGGGAGGGCACCTGCAGGAAGGAGCTGGGGAAGGGAGAGGGCGGCTGGGGCGAAGTCAGTGGGGCAGTGGGAGTCTCCGGGGGAGAGGCTCTGAGGGGTGGTGGCTGGGGGAAGGAGGCTGCGCCCTGTAACAGAGGGAAGAAGAACTTCACGG